AGTTCTGATGCACTTTGTAAACATGAGTTCTTGATTCACCCATTGTGCAGGCTGAATAAAACCTTTTCATCTCAGTCTAGTTGTTTTGCTATAAGTCATGGTTGCTCGCATAGATTGAGGAAACATACAAGTAGTCTTCAAAAGGTGATGAGTCATTCAGACAAAATCAGACGACATGCGTCTGTTGTTTTTGTTCGCTTAGTTGCTGCTATGCTGCTGGTTACTTCAGTTTCCGTTGCTCCTAGCAACACACCCTCATGTATGTTTGATTTTATGAAAATTAGCCTCATGCGCTGCAACATATGGGGCGGTTTTTTGTCACATTTTCATACTAATTCTTTTTATATTGTACAGGGGCCCTCTCTGAAGAGAATCTCCTCTTCTTAGAGGCATGGAGAACAATTGACCGCGCATATATTGACAAAACTTTCAATGGGCAAAGTTGGTTTCGCTACAGAGAAAATGCACTTCGAAATGAACCAATGAACAATAGAGAAGAGACATGTATATGGAATACCTTTAGCAGTCATTTTATGTTTGGTAGTTTGCAACATGTAACCCAAAGCAAAATGTCATACGGAAAAAAAGGACTGCAACCTGATTACTATGCATATTTGTTTTTGTATTGCTGATTTCTTTGTCTTCTATTATTTCATATCTATATCATTTCATAAATGTTTACCTGATCATTCATTCAATTTTGTAGTAGTAATGTGAGGAGATAGTATACTCATCTGCTTGAAGATGGGAATTAGTTAAATAATTATCTTGTAATCACTCCATCGCAATTAGTGAAGGGTAATGATTCTGTAAGTAGCATACTGCTATTCTAAGTTCTAATTGCTTATTTCTATGCAGACATGGCCATAAAAAAGATGCTTGCCTCACTGGATGATCCTTTCACTAGGTTTCTGGAGCCTGAGAAGTTTAAGAGTTTGCGGGTATGAGGCTGTTTCTTCTCATGTCTTAACTTAATGAATTCTAGCCTGGATAACATGGTAGCTATTATTAAGCATTGAAATATTGTTGTTTTCTGCAGACATATTTATTTTAGCATGTTATTTTCCCTAAAATGTGTTAATTTTTCTCTGAAGGCAGTCTGGAACTCAAGGGGCTCTTACAGGTATAGGACTATCAATAGGTTACCCAAAAGGATCTGAAGGATCACAAGCTGGGCTTGTTGTTATTTCAGCTGCTCCAGGAGGTCCTGCATATCAGGCTGGCATTTTATCTGGTGATATTATCTTGGAAATAGATAATACAAGCACAGAAAGCATGAGCATTTATGATGCAGCAGAGAGATTGCAGTAAGCGTGTCACTGTCTTTTTTTATAAGTCAGTTGAAGCCTGATCAGCTTTCATTTTTTATTTTAGTTGTGAAGAAATATCTGTTCAGCAGAGTTTTTATGATAGAGATCTTTTCCTTCGTCTTCCTATTCTGTGTGTGTCTATCTATCCACTCTTTTTCTATTATTTACTGTTATGCTCAGCTTTTTGACATAACTACAGGGGAGCAGAAGGAAGTTCAGTTGAAATAACAATTCAAACTGGACCAGAAATAAAGCACTTGGCTCTAACGTATGTTAAGTGTTTCATTTGAATTTCTTATGTTGCATTTGTACTCAATAAATAAGTTAACTTTGTCCAAGGTCTGTCTATGGTAATTGATTCAGCATCTGAAGGTTCGTGTCTCTGTTGTTATTATTCTTTTACCAATGAAGTGAACTAGAATATAAGAATGTGGATTTTACCATTTTATTCCTAGTTATCCTGTTGTGCTCCTTGTAATGCAGTAGTACAGAATTTACATTTTCTTTTCTTCGTTTCTTTTTACATCTATTATGTGAAAGATTTAAAATTAACCAATTGCTACTTTCTAGGCGAGAAAAAGTTTCACTGAATCCTGTAAAGTCAAGACTATGTGAGATTCCTGGTTCAGAAAAGAACTACCCCAGAATTGGTTATATTAAGCTAACATCATTCAACCAAAAGGCTTCCGGTAAGTTGAGATATTGACTGCAAGTACTCTTTGTTTTGTCAAGGATTTGGACTGAAGCTGTGAATTTTTAAGTTCGACAATTTTTTCCAGGAGTTTATTCAAATGATAAACTTTTGAAGTTGTTCATTTACTTTCTCTTTTCGTGCATGCTTGTTCACTTTTTTCTGATTATCCAGGCTCATTAGCATCTTGAAGGAAGGAAGGAGGGGGGAAGGGGATCTTTCTCAGAGAGTCCCCTTCCCCGCTTCTTCTCCAGTTTATATCTAGGATATTGTCCTGAACCTTTACATTTTCTGTAGCTGCTGTCAAGGAAGCAATTGATACTTTAAGGAGTAATAGGGCTAATGCCTTTGTGTTGGACCTTCGTGATAATAGGTGATTAGCTTTCAACATGATCCATTTTAAACTTGTTCTTAAGACAGGCTTTCTTAAAGGTTAAATTTGCTGCAGTGGTGGTCTTTTCCCAGAAGGAATTGAAACTGCCAAGATTTGGTAAGTTAAACCATTCAAATTTAAAGGTTCTTTTATCCATGTTAAGTTTCATGGTGCAAGTTATCATCATTAGTTTCTTTTGAACAGGTTAGACAAAGGTGTGATTGTGTATATTTGTGATAATCATGGTGTTCGAGATATATATGACACAGATGGAGGCCCTGCAATAGCAGTTTCAGAACCCCTAGCTGTGCTGGTATGCTTGGTTATTATCTTTGCTGTTTAGGACTTATATTTCTTGGATGTTATATAAGTCTGTATTTTATTCTGAAATCTGTTGTGAGGTCCTTCCTGTTTTGACTGTTATCACGTCAGTCTGTTTCTGAATGTGAGAGAGTAAGAAGAGGATGGATTTTCATTCTTAAAAAATTCCATCATCTGAATTTCCATTAGGTGAACAAGGGCACTGCAAGTGCAAGTGAAATTTTAGCTGGTGCATTGAAAGATAATAAACGTGCTGTGTTGTTTGGAGAACCCACATATGGTAAAGGGTAATTACTTCTGCCTCTACAGCGTACACAAGCATCCTATATTCTATAACCTAACCGCAATGATGCACGCATTCCACTCTGCAGCAAGATTCAGTCAGTTTTTCAGCTATCTGATGGCTCTGGCCTGGCCGTTACAGTTGCTCGTTATGAGACACCTGCTCATATTGATATTGACAAGGTTTATTTCTAGTCTCTATCCTTCTACAGCTATGTCTCTCTCTTTCGCTAACTCTTGTTTCGTCTTTCTTCCATGTAGATCGGTGTGATTCCGGACCATCCTCTCCCAAACCCGTTTCCCGAAGATGAGGATGCTTTTTGTGGCTGCATTCAAGACTCTGGTTCTGCTTGCTATGTCAACAATGTCCAGCTATTTTCTAGATGACTATTTCGTTTCATCTTGTTCTAAGGAACATGATTCTTTGCTCATTTACATTCTTTGAAGGTTTCATAGCTTTATTTTCATTTGGGGAAATGTAGATTTATTTTTGACCGTGTAACATTTTTTAACTCTCTATGTTCTGATCAGTACAAGTATCCAACTCCTTTCGACAACATAAACAAGAGATCAAAGTTTCTCTCTTTACGAAAGAGAAAAAAGGGTGTTTCAGGTCACATTGGTTTATTTCCAAAGACATAAAATTTGGATGTTCATAGCCACAACTTTCACAACATATATATAGCTTAAAATTGTTATAATATTTATTAAATTTATTTTAATCAGGTATTTAATAGGTATGAATTTTTAACGGGTAATTTTTAAGATATTAAATAGGAGTTTGAGTAGCAATTTAAAAGTTTAACCGTGTATTTATAAGGTTCGAGTTAAGGTATTTAAAAAATAACGGATAATTTACCTCTTTATATTTCTAGAGACTACGAAAGGATTTTAGCAAATAAAACATGTTATGTAATAATAACTAAACTTATATAATGTTATACGAGTTTAAAAGAAAAAATATAAAGCTTTTATTGATAATTGTTGCTAGTGATTTCTGGCCTCAAGCAGTTCAATTTTATTTTTTTATTTCTTTTACCTACAAATAGACAACATGGTGAATAAATCACAAAAAGGAATTGTACCTAACTCTTGCCTTTTCCATAATATTTATATTAGGCAACAAAATCATAAATCATTTAATTTCAACCTAATAAGTGTCCATATTAATTTAATGTTTTTGCAATACATAACTAATAAAATGAAAAAAGAAATTAAAGGGAATAGCAATTAACATTAAAGTGTTCAGTTTAATGAATTTATTTCATATCTGTCCTCGGATTTACTTTCCTTAACATGAATTTCAAATTTAATATAATGGCTGATTTGTTTCCATATTATGACAAATTTGCTTCATCCTTTTCCCACATTAATTTCCTTAAATTTACTTCCCTCAATGGAAATTCAAAATTTGATATATATATATATATATATGTGTGTGTGTGTGTGTGTGTGTGTGTGTGTGTGCTGTGTGTGTGTGTTGTGTACCTCCAAGGCTAAGTCACAAACTCAAGCATAACGTTCTGTTGCTGTAATCCTGCTAACCATGGCCAAATTTCTCTCACTCAGTTTCTCATCCTTGCTCTCCTCTTGACTCGTATGTTTTATTTATCACTTTAACTCATTATTTTCTAGCTTTTCAAAAAGCGTTACCCTAACATCTGAGTAATTGACTCAATGATCATCGTTTTTTAATCAAAGAGTTCCATTCAAATTCTTTATGGTTTAAATTTTTTGTTGGGGTTTGAGAGTTAAAGTTGTTTTGTTTGATTTATGTTCTTGCAGTTGTCTCAATGGCACCACAGATTGATGCACAGCAAAGATGTGAAGAGACCTTAGATCCAAACAATTGCGTACTTGAGGATTGTAAGAAGAGGTGTTTTGAAAAGCACCAAACCAATGGAGGTCAATGCGTTGAGAATGGAGGCACTCCTCTAAACCCAACTTTTAAGTGTCTCTGTGTTTATGACTGTTGATTTTTATTTCTCCTCTTAGAAGATACACTTGTAAGCAAAGAGGAAGACTTAAATAAAAGGCGAAGCACTATCATTAGTATGTTACTTTCATGTTATGCCACAGGATTTTGTAGAAAAAAAAATTGATGACAAGCAATGCTCTAAATGAACCCCAAGAATCTATGATGAAAACTGAGAAAGTAACCCTCAGATCCAAGCATGACCTATAAAATAGTCGAGCAAGAACCGGAACAGGTAACCCTTAGACTGTAGGTTGGCCTAAACACAACAGAGCAAAGATTGTCATGTTTCGACCTTAAGCTTGCTAGATGGAATCACCAGAACAATTTAGTCCAGGAACCTAAAAATGGGAAAACAGCAAACAACAATCTCAACAGCAGAGGTGCATCACTGTTAGTTCCTTTCGCACTTAGCTTGCCCTTCTCGTTTGTTGTCTTTTTTGAGCTGCTTGCCTTTGTTGATGAGATTCTCGTCGAACCCATTCCATCTAGCTCATCCCATCCACCAAAGCTGGGTGCATCTTGGCCACCCTCATTGACAGAACCATCATCACTAACTACCCATGATTGATAACCCTTCATTCCCTTTCTGCTCTGTTGGCCTTCTTGTACTTCTTCCTTCATTTTAACATTTTTTACAGTGCGTGGAGTTGTATTTTTCGTTCTTTTCCTAACCCTGGTCTTACTCTTCTGCTTGCTTTGTGATCTTCCGAATAACTTTTGAAATGCCAAAGTGATTGCTGACTGCCCAAGTGCAAGTGCTAATGCCATGAGGAAAGCTTTTGGGCCTGTGGCGAACAACAAGGAAAGTAAAATGACTGGTAACGCCCAACCAAAGGATTTGAAAACCTGCATTGACCAACAGCAAATATATTGGGATCAACAGAAATGATTTACCATAAAACTAACTTTTGGTAAATTAACATTGAGGGGAACGAACTATAGTACATGATCCAGTGGGAAAAGGAAAAACTGATTATTTAGAAACTGTTCATTTAAAACTAAGTTCCTATACAGAGCAAGATTCAGTACTGAGGCATAAAGAGCTGCCAATGGCATTGTAGAGGCAAATGCCAAATGGTGTGTCCAAGGTAAAATATCCTGTGATGTGGTTAGGGGAAGCTAACATTATTTCAATAGAAAATCCGACATAACTAGCCCAATAAATGCAAGAATTAAGTTAATTCCAAATCAAATTTCTTCATTCTACGACTTGTTCAAAAGGAAGCAGATCAGACTAACAATGCTTCAGAGCATTGCATGAACAAGGCATACCTCTTCTAAAGTTAATAAACAAAGGGCCTCACATGGTTGTTCCAAAATTATTGATTTGTTAACATAATTCCATTGATAAAAACAAATGGTAAATTAGGATAAATATATTTTGAAAAAATATATCAAATTCAATCCAATCCACTTAAAATGTAGTATTAAATTTTACTAACTTCTTAAGCATTTCAGCACCCAAAACTCAGCCTAACCTTTTGTATCCCTTTGATGTGCAAAACCCAGCATTCAAAATTCAACCTTTAAAATTACATCCAAGAAACAAAAAAGTAAAAGGAAAGAAAACATTGTACCTTCAAAATCCAAAACCTATCAATAGCTTCATCCAAAATCCCAGAACTTGCCATTTCTTCTTCATCATCATCATCATCTTCTGCTTCTTCGTCATCGTTTTGGGTGTTAAAGCTGAAATCTTTGGCACGAATTGTCTCAGCATTAGAATCCCACTTGCTTCTTCTTCTTCTTCTTCTTCTACTATCTCTGGCTGCATACGACCTGAGACGGCGGCGTAAATGGGAGTGCGAGAGAGGGCAGAATGGGAAATGGTTGAGATTATTATGGAGCTGAATGTCGTTGTAGTGTGGGAAGAAGATGAAGGAAGACCAAGGGCATGGTTGAGCTGCCATTTCCATTTCCGGTTCTCTGCCGCGGCGAGCTCCACTGTTTCGTTCTCTGCCATTTCGCCACGTTCATATTTTCTGCTCCATTTAAAAAACGTTTGATGATAAAATACCTGGCGTCTCTTCACGACGTCGTTTTAACTTTTAGTTTATGAAGAAGAAAACGCTGCGTTTATGAAAGGATTATGTTTCAATAGGTAAAGCGACACCGTTTTTCAGAATGGATCCTCTATATAGGCTCGATCGTCGGGAAAAATCACCGTCTGGCCGTGCATCAGTTCCTTCTTGAAGAGAAAAAAAGAGGGAAAAAATCCCTAGGAGCTGAAGAGGAAGATGAGGCCAATGCCGATGGAATTTATGGTAGACCCAGACGATCAAGGCTCAGCCATGGAAGTCGACGACGTTGACCCACTCGAGATCTTCGGCGAAGGCTCCATACCTGTCGACAACAAGCTCGCCGACGCCGATTTCTTCAACAACTTCGAAGACGATTTCGATGACTCCGACATCAACTGAAAAAAATTCCCAAGTTCCCATATTTATCTCTCTATTTATCTATTTTCCTTTACAGGGTTTCACCTCTGTAAAATTTCTCAAGTTCAGTTTAGTCGAATTTGAACTGTTCCATGGATTGTCTCCTCTGCAAACTATATCATAGCGTATGGATTTTATCAGTATAATAGATTTAGTCTTTCTGAGCTTAGGGTTTTGGTGAATTGAATCGCTTTTCAATTACTTTTTTGTTTCTATTTAGTTCATGAATTTGAGAAATAGCTTTAGAGTTTAGAAATACACTACACCACAAGTTGATGTTTGAAGCATGGAATTAAAGAATTTTGGGAATGGGAACTCTTTATTCATTGGTTAAATTAGATTGGGACATTGCCTTTTATCTTTTAATTCTAAAACAAGAAATTCCATCCAAAATTTAAACAAGCCAATCATTGCAGCTGGATTTATTGATTAGTGAGATTCATGGTTCCACCTTTTTTGCCCAAGGAATAGTTTTAAAATTAAAAAAAAAAAAATTTATTTCATAAAATTTAAAATCTCCAACTTCAGAAAAATTAAAGACTTTTTATTTATAATTTAGATTACCTAAAGGAAGGTAGTATATCATATATGCTATGATTAAGAAATAAATTCGACCTTGGCATTTAAAGGGACAAAAACATTCATAAACTGTTGGAGCAGCAGGATTGGTTGGGATACATTGAGCAGCCATCTGTAAAAACAAAACAAAACAAAAATCCCAAGCAATCAGATTAATTTTCAAAACCCAATATCAACAAATTTTCTATGAAAATATAATGTATTATTTAAAAATGCAATGTTGGGAAGGGGCAGTTGAAACAAATCAGAGAAAACGAGAACAAGGATGAGGAAGTGAGAGGAAGAGCACTTGGCCATTTGTAGCAATTTGTATCAATGGAATGCTTGAGTTTTTCAAGTGTAGAACTCAAGATTTTGGAGGGAGTGTATATATAGGGTTATAGCGTATAGCAACTTGAACAGATTGCACAATGGAGGAATGAGATAACTCTTGCAGAACAGAATAATGGATGAATACAGAACTGTCTGATTAAATTACTTTCTTCTTCCTTTAGATGAAATCGGATTCTATGTTTGTCGTCAGCTTTGACTAAGTAATGGGTACAGTGAATCTTTTCTTAACACTAGGAGGGAGGGGGAATAGCCTGGAATATTACACAGAATTTCCTTTGCTTATGGCTTGTATCTAAGTTGTTATTAATGGCTATATGAAACAAGGCTTTCCTTCCATTGTTTGTCAAACATTCATACGGTTTTGAGTCTTCAAAGTAAAATCATGGCCTTCAGAGTAATTCTCAGATTACAATACAAATGGGCTTTCTGTCTGCGACAAAAATGGTGATGCACCCGTCCTTTCTGTGGAGCTGGCCGTGAACAATTACTAGTAAGTTAATTATGCAGCCGGTTAATGACTATTTAAAGGCTGAAATCTTCAATTTTAAAACTTCTTTATGTGTCTGATGCTGGAACCGTTTCTCTACAATCAATGCTTGGGGAAATTCCTGTTGCTGGGGAATCTTTCCTTGGTTGTCATTATAAATTCCATACCATATATTTTATCCATGAAAATGCCTACAATTAATAAATTCAATAAGTATTGTTTGAAAGTCTTCTTCCATTTATCAGTTCACACCCGTCCCTGCTTCAGGATTTGCTCATGAAGAAAACCATGAGCTGTCTTCTTCAGTTACGATGTTATTACCCCATCATAGTATTCAACCATATATGTTGATGGCCACAGCCCTGGATCTATATCTGTATCGTTTTCCCAAAAGGGTGTGGCATTCCTTTCTCTGGACTATAAACCATGGGAAGAAAGAAGGTTAAGCATGAGTTGATTCCCAATGAATCTGTCAGGAAAGCCACACTCAAGAAAAGAAAAGCCGGGCTGCTGAAGAAGCTGAGTGAGCTGGCAACCCTGTGCGGTGTTACCGCCTGTGCAATCATTTTCAGTGGTTACAATACCCAACCCGATGTTTGGCCTTCCCCGATTGACGCATTCCGTGTGCTCGACAAGTTCAACAACTTGCCTGCAGACAAACAAGGCAAGTACATGATGGACCAGAAGGTTCTCCTCAGAAGAATCATGTTGCAGCTGAATGAAAAGTTGGAGAAGCAAAGAGAGAAGAACCGAGAGCTGGAGGTGGAACTTGCTTTGGCTGAAACCAACTATGATTTCAATAGTTTACAAAGTTCGGAAGAATTGGTTCATCTGTTGAAGGACAAGATCGAGTTTGTGATGAATAAGATCGAGAGCAAGGGGTTGAAGGGCTGATCAAGTTTAGCAGGAAAATGGAAATAAAAGTACAGAGCACAACAGGTTTTTTTCATCTGAGATTAGATGTGGAATCTGCTTTGCTTTACATGAATAAACATTAAACTGGTCACTATTTGGCATTGCTTTTATCCTATCGATTGCCTGAGATCTCACACTTCCAACCCTATTTTGGTATATTAGAGTCTTTATTCTTCAATAAAATTGTGTGGGTTGCAAGTCATTTAATTGGAACCGCAATATTTTGGTTTAGATAACGGGTTCAAGGAGGTTTGGATGGGGTCATTTTGATAGATTAAAATTGTATTTGATTCCTTGTTGAGGATTCTGCACTTTCCAGATCCAATTTAAGTTCTGGGAAATAAAAACTGTCCAAGTTATGGAATTTCTGTTTGGAATTTCAAGTGGGAAAGGATGAGCTTGTAATGCAGGGTGAGGGCATACAACACACATTGCTGCCTTGCCCCCACTTCTCAAAAAGGGGTCATTCCTTGACATCAGACAAGTGAGAAGAAGCCGTTACTTTTGTTCTTGCTCTAGGTATTTGTCATGCTATTGCTAAATTGCAAAGTACGGAATACATGTCACCTTATGGATTCTACTTAATTAAACTTGTAGGAGATTTTAATATTGATCCATTTTCTCTAATCTAACGGATTCGGTGTTGTGACGAGTATGTTTATACAGGTTTGTTAGTGCATATCTAGAGCTGTACTTGAGATGAGCTATCACTTGGGTTTCTCTCTTAAGTCGTTCAACTATCCTACCAAATCAGTGCTGAACTTCTGATTATGCACAAGAGCATGCATTTGGTTGGTTGTGAATATTTATATTTTAAATGCGATATCAAGTTCTGGGTAAACATTGTTTACTCTCCAATATTTCCTGGCACCAGGTTAAAAGTTCCACCTTCATTCTGCCGTTTGCTCACTTTGCCAGTTTTGATAGCATCAGAAGGCCAAAAATGGCGACTCAGCGAGGAGAAGCATCTGAGCAAACCACAAGTACTCCAGTGACAGGACAAATGGAACTGGTGCAGGAACGATACCAGAAAGTGAAGGAGCATTCTAAAACTTATCCTTACGTGTGGGCGTCCCACACACTTGTTTATGGTGGTTTGGCACCATGTACTGCTTACAGATGGAGAAAGCTTCGCAAGACTCAGAACAGAGTGCCAGCCTTTCAAGAGAGACTCCGCAAACTTGTTGAAAATGAAGAATCGGCAAACTCTGCTAATAAAACTCCCAAGTAGTTACATGCTAAACTTCAGTTTCTTTTATGTAGGATAAAGAATTATTCTGATATGGAATGCACAAGGCTTTTGTCAAATTCCCCAGTAATGACCAATTCCTAACTGCACCTCAAGTGTATTATACAGTGACCAAGATACAGCAATTTTATATGAAATAACAACTCTCTTTGCCAATGGATCATATGTACAATTGCACTAGAACCTGCTGTCCTGGACATAAGTGCCCCAACCCATCTTCCCTTCATCTTCTTCAATTCATAATTCACCATAATATTTAAACTGTTAAAAGAATGCTCCTCTTCCAGCATTATATTCCAAAGTAAACTTGTTATAGAAATACACAATTCAATGACAAAATTAGCATTCTGCATGATTACACTACTATCAAATTACTTCACTCAAACACAAACATCCTATTACATATAGCCTCAATCACAGACTACATCCAATTTGAACTTGCAAATAGTTAAAAGGGGAAAAGCAGGCGGTGCATGAGGCTTCCACATTTTTTATCAAGGGACTATCAACCCCGGTTTTTGCAGAGAATTGTTCTTGCTATTTGACCTCACGAATTCAGTGTCACAATGAACAACCTAAACTGTGCCTATTATATATATAAATTGTGATCAAATTACAATCCTAAAGTTAAGCAGTAAGTAAATAGCTATAAGAAATGACAAGACAAAGGGGACACAAAGAAACAAAAATGAAAAAGTCATGTGCAACTAATTAATTTAGAGCAGCATAAAAAAAATTTAAGCAAATACCTACAACAACTAGCAGATTAAGAGAGCGGAAAACCAGTTGATTAACAAAAATCTTTCTCCTCACTGTTTTCTAAGAATCTCCTTGCATTTTCAATTTCAGAAATTAGGAGCGCTGACAAACTTAGATATACATAACTTTAGAAAAATAATAAACTAAAATTTCACCATGTAGTTATCAACCAATAACTACCAAAGTTGGAGAAACTAGCAGAAAATACCTACATATCTACATTACTTTTAAAGTAAATATATTAATCTTCAAGGAAAGTATTTATAACCAAACACATGAGCACAGACACAGAATTTCATGAGAATATCAAGCAGAGAACCCCTTTGTCTCGAGCCCATAACCTCTAGATAGAACACACAGGCCTCTTTGTCACTAAAGCATCCAAGATACCATTCTCTCACTTCTTGGTCTCTTTAAGCATCATTTGGATTAACATTAGTCTAATTTACCACACAGCCTGATAGCGATGATGCAGAGAGGAAAAGCAGAAGACAAAAACAGGACAGAACAGGCCAGGAAAATACCAGCTATCAGCTTCATAAACATAAAAAAGAAAACACTTTCAAGCTTTTGTTCATTCCAGTTACCTTATGGGGATCCAAGTCAACATCCCCCTAATTTCCACACTTCTTTAGGGTCATGGTGAGAATCAGAGTTGGGGTCAGGAAGAAGACCATTCTCACTTTCAGTTTGAGAGGAATTCTAATCAATAATTTGAATACTTCTTTTTTTATTCAATAAATTTTTTTAAACTTCCGATCGAACAATGGAAATGGACTAAGTCGATACAATCAGTATAAATAAAAGACCAGCAAAGTCCTCACAATTTTGGACCAAACAACAGAAAATTCAGTGTTCTTCATAGCACTCGATAGGATACATAAATCGACACACCAAAGGGTACAGTTTAGAACAAAATACCTATTAATTTGATCAGAGGGCATGTCATGGATTCGTTCAGTGTTGCCAAGGCAAATGCCACAATCAATACCCAAGATAGCTTGGATCCCCCATATACTCAGCAATCTGTTCAAGTTTCACATTTAGCAACTCATGACTATCAGCATCTCTTACAACACCTGTTTCTCGATCTAAATCCCTCTCTACCAAACTTCCATAGACACCTTTATGCCTACCATACAAAATTAGAACAGGACCACCACGCCTTGGCAATGCAGTCTCAAGCAACTTCTGCTCAACGCCTTGAATCAACTCCTTACTCTCATCCATTGATATATCACACATATATGGTCCAACAACATCCACAACCTGCCCTTTCTTCAAATACAACCTCCCCCCTTCCAAACTTTTACTAATAATCCGAACCCTAATGTGACTTCTAAGCCAAGAACCCCCTCGATCGCCATTAGTCCTAACTCTCTCCACGTTAACCTTCGTTTCACTTCTTTTCTCACTCTCTCTACTTCGTTTGCTAACCTTTCTTTCATCCCCCTTGGTTTTCAAATCTTTAGCTTCCCTAATCTTTAACTCTTTCAACTTCCTCAAACACTTCTCTTCTTCCCTGGATCCCAAATCCGCAATCTCAAAAAGACGAACTTTAACTTTCTCTTCGCTTTTCTTCAACCTCAAAACAACCCACCCACCACCCAATTTCTCCATTATGGTACCTTTCAAACCCATTTCTCTCCCTTCAATCACTCTCACATCTTTCCCCACAAAAAACCCGTCTTTATCCTCCTTCACTATTTCTTCTTTGTCATGTTTCTGTTTGACATTCGTGAAACCGGGTAATCTTTCTTTATTTTCCTTAGAACTAAACCCTAACCCTTCCTTATCGGTCCTCCTCTCGTACTGCTTTACTTTGACATCTTCCTTGGCGTTCTTCCCAATTCCTCTCCCTTCAACCCATCCATAACCAGCAAGCAAAGCCTTACCGAAACCCTCCACCGGAACATCCTCGAACTCCTCGAACCCTCGATCTTCGGGCAACCTCTTCAAATCCTCTTTTAAACTCTGGAGAAGGACCGCCTCAACCGGAGCTGCCGATTCGGGGATCCCCTGTGGGTCACCCGCATCACTCTTGGCGGAGTTGTCGCGGAGATTGAGACCGTAAGAGATTTTGGCGTCGGAATTGGGGAGGGGAAGATCAGAGGAGGACTCGAGCTCGAATTGGAGATCACGAGAGCCGTCGGATTGGAGTGGGATGTGGAGATTTTTCATCTTCTTGTAGGGACGCCATTCGTTCTGCTTGGGAGGGATTACAAAGGAGGGTTTGGAGTTGGGGTCGGCTGGCGTTTTAGAAGGGTCGAATTCGGTGACGAATTCTTTATGGTATTGGTCTTCATAGGCGGCGGAGGCGACGGGGATGGACGTTTTCTGGGTGGGTTTTGATTTGGAAGGGAGAGAGAAGGAGAGTTTCATGGTCAGACAGAGCGAGAGAGAGAGAGTGTGTGTGTGTGTAACCGGTGCGTGTAATTTAACTCGAATATTGCGAACGCGGAAAGAAGAGACCTTGAGAAAATAATTTTAAGTAAATAGATGGTAGTGTGAATGTCTAAATCAAAACAATGCTACTCATAATAGCTGATTTCTTAAATCTTAAAACCATAATGTTCTATTTCTAATTTGAACATAATTAGCATCACAAAATATTTAAATATTTTATTCTCAACTAAAAGATATTTAAATAAAATATGTATTTTATTTCTAATTAGAACACAACTAGCATAAAGTGCCATTACAAGTAAATTACATAAAAGTGAATTCTAAACACAGGAATTATAAGTAGTGTAGTCCTACTTTTCAAAGTTTACCAATCATGCGTGGGACTCCTTTGCGATCCATGTTACTTAGCCACTCGCATGGCATCTCGCATAGGTGATCCGAAGAAGTGCGGTTTGTGCATAAAAGACCACTTGTCAACGTGTTGGCTCAATGATTGGCTAGGTTGGACTCGTGTATCGTGTTGTTCTCCCCCCACTTGATTTCACAATGGAATGCCTCAATTGAGTCCATGAATTACCGTAAGTCCTCTGCTGGTTTCAAACTAGCTTCTTCTTTTAACTCTCCTTTCCACTTTTCCAGGTATTGGTATTATGACATATGGTTCTAGCATCGCAACACCCTATCGACAAGCATTACGTCCACCTCCTTCTCGTATATTGAACGTACACCCACTAATACTCTAGGATTGTTTCGGTGACTTGGATCCTCTTCGTCTGCGTGACATGACTTCAACATACTAATGTAAAAAATCAAATAAACTTTCGATTTAGGTGGCATATCAAGTTTATATGCTGCTGGACCAATTCGTTTGGTAACCTGATAAGGCCCTTCGTAGCCTCAACAATTTCTTTTGGAGTCCTTTGGTCTTGAGTACTAGGTGAAGTTTAACTAGTATCAAGTCTCCTACATTGAAGTGTGTCTCCCTTCAAGATTGCCAGCCCATTTCTTCATGGATTTGGCCACCGTAAGTAAGCATCTGCAAGCAAGATCGAGTTGTTCCTACTATTCGAGCGTATACTTGTATGCTACCAGTGATTCCCCTGTATACCGATAATTATGTGGCTCAATATAAGAGGTTGTTGTTCTATTTCTAACTCAAACGGATTTTTCTCATTACCTCACTATGATGTAAGTTGTGAGAAAATTGAGCACTATCTAACCATTTTGGCCAATCAATTTAAGTGCCTTGAACAAAATGTCGCAAGTACGTCTCTAGCATCGCATCGACCCTCTCAATCTATCCATCTAGTTATGGATGAAAACTAATCGAAAAGTTGAATTATAAACCCATCATCTTGAATAGTTTCAATCAAAATTTTTTTATGAAGCGTGCATTTTTATCTCTCAGTATGCTTAATAGAACTCTCTACTATTTGACAATATGAGTTATGAAGTACTTTGCGACTTCTGTTACTGGACACTTACAACTTATAGCGATGAATGTTGCACATTTAGAGAAATGGTCCATGATGACCATAATGCATCTCAATCCATTCACCTTAGGAATGTCCAAAATGAAATCCATGTTCAAACTCTCCCATGGTTGAGTTGGAATTGGCAAAGGTTGTAGTAACCTAGCAACTTTCCTTAGCTCAAACTTGTCTATTACTAGTAGACAAGGCATATCTTAATCATATAATTACTTATCATATGAATCATTAAAGCTTTCTTAAGAAGATCCAACCGAATCCAACATTTCACAACTAAATTCAACTAGCATAAGAAAACACTAAGAGTGGGTAAAAAAATATTTTAGATATTTTATGTTTATTCATTAATGTCGTTTACATGTTTAGAATGAATTAAATATGTCAAAAACTAATGAAATTATATAAAATTATGACAAAAATTTAAAAATATTAGTGCATTTTATCATAACTTTTTTTTTATTATTTAAGAGTGACCCGAGCTTCACTTATTAGAAAGGAGAAAAATAATGGAAAAGTGGAAAAAGAGAAAACGTGTTTATCCTTTTTCAAGAATACTAAACAAGCCCTTGAACTTTTCACTTTCTCTAAACAAGCCCTTGTTGACAGCTTCTGGATCGAGCTGATCCACTCACCTCGGACAAGTGAGAGTATATCCAACGCAAAGAAGTGGAACATGTTTTGTCTTGTCTTAAAGATTGAAGAATCTAAATCCGTCAATTACCACCTGCTTAGTTACAGGTTTCAACTTGGGTATATGCCAAGAAGAAGAAACTGCTTAACTTTGCAGCCAATGATGGGTTGGATCAACAATCTGCCAGAGATATTTAAAGAAAAATTGCAACAGCCTCTGAATAAGAATGAGAATTCATGACAACAGAGGTACAAATTCTAGAAGCTAAATTATATTTCGCCAAATCTTGTGTGTCAATAAACATCATGCCCTCAAACAAACCCAAAGCATTTCCATTTTTAAACCTGAACAGGTAGATACAACACCGCCATTCTTAACTCTATTCACCTTGTTCAAGTTAGATCAATTTCTACCACGTAAACACAGTGTTTCTAAGAAATAACATATAGAAAATACAAGATAGCGTTTCCATCTAACTACCAGCTGGTAAACTTTACAAAGGGACCAAGGGTGTGTGCAGTTCATGGCCATAAATCGTTCGGAAAAAAGTTTGCAGTACAAATGCTGTGATGTCATCCTGAAGCATATCGACACAGAATTAGCAGATGTTTTGTTATTTAGAAACAAGGCAAGGGATGAAATCTGATATGTACAAGCAAATATAGATCAACTTTTCAAACATGTATCAGGACAGATTCTGGTAGGAATGTTTTTCATTTATTTAGAAAATGAATAAGGAAACTGACCATCTAAGCCGAGCTGCCAGTCAATTGTACAGGCTCTATTGGTCACTAGCATTCTAAAGCATATGTTGGGACCTACAACAAAAGAAAAAAATAATGTTAATATCGAAATATGATAACAAAGACGAACGATAAACTCTGGGTCATTATAATTTTCTATAAATGATATGGGCAGAATAATCCCACTAACAGAAAATCAGTCTGTCCACATATGTATTAGACAAATTTGAAATGTCTAGCAAACTAAAAGATTAGAGGAAAAAAGATATTTTGCAGCAAAGATGTGGGAGAAAAAAAATGAGAAACAAATGAAAAGGAAATTTTGTCAATTAAACTCAAAAGAGATCCAAGAAAATAAACCTGCAAACTTGGGCCTCCTACCTCGAGCATATTTTCATCTATAAAACTGGATGTGTTATGATTTATACCATTAGAACTATCATATTGGAGAATCCTTAGCTTTCCTTCCTACATTGCAACATGTAGAAATTTAGAAGAATTAGTTGCCGCATATAAAAAAACAGGATTAGTAGCAAAAGACAAATATAAAGATTCGTTGAAACATCAAAATTCTGACCTTTGTTCCATATACAAGGCCACCTCCAACAGAAGGATGAAAGCAAGCCACATTTACCTCATCTTCTGCACTTGGAAGAACTCTCACAAGTTCCATATCAGAAACTCTGTAAACCTGAGTAGTGAAGAAGTACACTTAAGTACATGAAATGCCCAAATTCAAGTCAACAAGATAGAGGGGATTTTATACTCTTAAGACAAGACCACAAGCACATACAGTTCCATACATAATAAGGACTTATAAAAAACACTAGCACTGGAGCGAGCAGATAATTTGCCAATACCCTAAGCGTGCTACAAACATTATGATAAATGGCCAGCAGAACAGTATGGTTGATATCCTTTGTGTAAGTGCACAACTTAGAAGTATGTTTGACATGCTTCATTGTATTTGCTAAATATTGGAGCTAAATGGTTGAAACTTTTGGGTATTAGTTCATTATTTATATTTCCAGTACATAAGTATATCCATACCCACTTGAAACAATAATACTAGTGTAATCCTCAGATATAATAAGTAGGGAAATCAAAATCAGTAGGGAAAAACAATACCATTATTCAAGAATGAAGAAAGCGAGACAAAGTTTAGAGTGCATGAATTCTTTGAAGTATGCCTTTCAGTAAAAGAAACACCACTTCTAATGGCATTCTAGTTTGCCAATCTCTTTTCATCAATAGCTATTCCCCTCTTTCCATTTAAAGTAGTGTAGTAAGACTTCAAACCTTTTATTCATGATATAACACCAGCCCAAATCATATTAAACTTGAAAGACAAGGAAACGTATCAACTACCCGAAATACTTACATAGCATATGGAATTCCAGTGTGATGGCCATCAAATAACCATCACTGAAAGCATGCATGAAACATAAACTAACATTCAACATCTAGGAGTAACAGATTCTCAATAATGTTGAGACAACTGGAACTATAAATACATAGGTATAGGAAATCACACGTTTTTACCTCCAGAATGGTGTAAATGGGCACTGTGGTCTCTCCATCAATCACCACACTTTTGAGAAGTGAGCTGTGGCGACGACCATAGGCAAGTAATATATGCTCTGACGTGGGCGAAAACTGCAAATTAGAAAACAAAATTAACATATATCACAACTTTGGGAACATCCAATTAAAAAAAGTATTAAGGTTTGCTCTGGTTTAATTCACTGCAGCATGCAGGTGTCTTCTAAATATGCATGGACAGCCCATGGCACAAGATTCACTGAGAAACAGTTACGGCAATGAGCAACAGAACTCAGTATTTCATTGCATAAATATTGGTGCTTGTAATGCTATTCCACCCCAATAAAGCACAAATATAATAACATCATCAGTACACAAAGCTTTTGAACAAACAACTATTAGCTGTTCCTTCCCTACAAACCAACATCATGAGAGCAGAGAAGAGGATTTTGAAACCAAATATACAATCACAACTAGCCTTACTGAAGTTGAAGATTGACGAAGCTCAAAAATATTAAAAGAGGTTTAAAAAAAATACACCATTGCTTTCATAAAGACCACCAGGATTACAACAAAGAGAAAGGATTCGGCATTAATTTTTAAGACCATATATATAATTAGTGCTTAATGCCTGAAATTAACTCA